AGCAACGTTGTACTGCTGCTGCCGTGGCACGCTGTCCTACACCTGAGCTGAGGGTTACTGGAGCTTCGGCGCTCAAACTCTTCAGCGCTTCTTATCCACCCCTTGCTGATCGAGTGCGGTGTGTCTGCTACGCGCTAACATTCACAAATGCGAGCTCTGCATGCCCCGAGCCCGAGATTGGCGAGATCATCGTTCATCATGATGGCCCTTGGGCGGGATTCCGCTTTCTTGCCATAAATGAAGCCATACTGCGGTATGGTGAGACGAGGGAAGCCCGTTCCTCAAGATGCAGCCAGGTCTCCGATAAAGTACAGATCTTCTCTCTACTTCCCCAGAGAGGGGATAAAGCCGTGCCTCGGTGATGATCAAAACTGATCGCGATCTCTCCAGCCGTTGTGGACGCCGGACAAGGACATCATGATTGGTCTGCTCAACATTATGTCACGCCGGACAACGCAGCGGGACCCAGCTGCTCCGAGTGTAGTTCGCGGAGAGTCCCAATTTCCAGCATCTTGGACCGGTGCCTAATCACCCAACTGAGCCCTATGCCCTGATCCGACATGAAGTTCCGCCGATGGAGTCCAACCGTTTGCCACCGCGGGCCTCTCTCCTGTCGTCTCCAGAACTCTCGCCAGTGTTTGATGGGCGTAACGGACAGCCCGGTGAGAATCCGCAGTGGCGTGAATATTTCTCACGTTCCCGCAGCTCTCCTGTTCAGGAGAAGCGCACTGTTAGAGACCATCCGATGCTCCGTCGAGCTGTAGCCTCACCCGCAGCATGCCAACGCAAATTCTGTCTATTTACAACTGTAAATTTGGTTCGTGTGTATGGCATGGCATGACCCCCTCCTCGTCATATCAAAAGGCTGGCGCGACCGCCGGGCTTGAGGCTTGCCAACGGCCTGCGGTGTGGCGCGTTACTAAGGACCATCTCCTGTCAACCGCGCCAACCATGTTACTGACACCGCCACAAGAAGTCTGGAAGTGTGCCAAACTATCGGACAACCAAACTTTGTTCTGAGACGCTCTACTGGGCGTAGAAGCAACGGTGTCGTTGCCAATCAGCGCGTGACTTGTAGCGTTCGAGTCAGTTGACAGGACCCCCGGCCGCGGGCATCCGAGACCGTGAGTGATCTTCTCAGCCGGCATCATCCATCCAACGAGAACGAAAAGGCTTGGCTCGCCGATGACACCGGCGCATCCCGCCCGTCTGTCTGCAACAAACGCGGCCAAACGGCGATGAACCCGGCGGGATGGGGGGAGTGCTCCGGGGGCCCAGATGCCGTGTCCGCGGGGGTGCACCCTCTTTGACGAAACTTCGGATTTCCTGAACCTCACTCACCGGTTCTAGACCCGGGAGTCTGGATCGCGAGGACCTGAGTCGTGTATGGCATCAAAAATTGTCAGCCCTTTCGGATGCCAGATGCCGATATCAAGGGGGGCGTTTAGACGCGGAAAACTCTATGAAATTACCGGCCGACGGCGTGGCGGTAGGTAGGTCTGCAATCCTCGTTCGATTTGACGTGCTGGCGGGCGGAATCCCGTCAGCGGAAATCAGTCAGCCAACTTATTGAAATCAACCGCTTTAGCAACTCTTGGGTTTTGACAGGATTCAGTGGTGACAGTCAGCAACAACAACACCCGTGCCCATGCGGCTTTTAGCCTTTTTGCCTTCCTTATGTTTTAGCTTTAAGGCGCTCGCTGTCAGTTCACACCCCGCGGAAATTAAGATCTGCGTTTCCTGAAGGGCCAGAGAGAAACTTTCAGGAGTCAGGACAGAGTTGGACTAAGGTAGGCGCAGGCGCAGGCGCGACTTGGCTCTTCTTCTCGGACGTCGTTCGGCACCGAATGCCCCGCCGGCTGGCAGCGCGGGGGGGTCGTCGGCTCGCTTAAGCGCCCGAATGCGGGCGCGCGCGCGCGCGCTACTTGGGCACACAAATGAGCGGAGCCTTCAACAACAGCTCATCCCCGATGGCACAATTGGCTAGCGCGTCAGACTGTTAATCTGGAGGTTGGTGGTTCGAGCCCACCTCGGGGAGATTCAGTGGTTAAATCCCACTCTTAAGGGAGCAATTCACTTTTTGCATTTTCAAAATGATGTCTTTTTGTTGTTCAGTCCCTCGTCGCTTCAAATTGCATGTCGGCGGCGCTGTTGGAGGGCTTCTGTGCTGATTACTGATCTCTCGTATGACATAGGACTACATATCCCGAGCTAAGGACTCCGGCGACCCGGGACTGACCTTGCGCCGCAACTAGGCAGCAGCCACGAGAGAGTTGACGTTGAGAGAGATTTTTTGACTTGTGGCGGCGTCCTGTACATTGCATCACACGTAACAGTCGATCAGGTTGCAATGATCGTCAAAGGTTACAGGCGCCACAGCCGTAGAGGACGCTGCCGCTGTGGGTGATGACGCCGCGGGCGCTCATGAAGATGGAGTAGCTTGGCTGGGTTCTAGGTAGTGAGTAGGCGATAGAATGAAGGAGATACAACTTCGTGGCGATCTCTTTCGACTTACATCCGCCATGTGTATCCTGCGCGCTTCAACGTCTACAGACGCCTCCTGAGAAGCCTCGCGTGCGTCGTATGCAGTCGTCTACGGCTGAGCCCGTTTGGCGCTGCATCTGGCGCACATGGTTTGAAACTTAATTAACTCGTAAGCCATCGGGAGCTTCGCGTGGTGAAAGGAGGTTTCAAGGTCCTTTCTCGATCAAGAAGTTGCCGAACGGCCTGTGCCGTCGAGGGTTGAAGAAGGAAGGATGCGGAAGGAGGGCGTATGTCGTCTGAACGTGCCATTTCAACGCTGTTATGTCGAACGATGGACGTCCCTCATGTCACGCCAGACTGGCCCTTCTGGTGTTGTGGTGGTCTTGTCTTTGTCCAACCGATCAGCCAGAGAAAGCACTTAAGAGTTGTGAAGAATTGTGGCTAAGCCAATGTGGGATGTATACCCTGAAATATGTGTACGTCTTCGGTCCGTTCTTGATATTCCTGAGCCTGGAGTGCCGTGACGCATAGAGAGTGAGGCGTCGCAAAGGGAGTTCCTCCCCATCTAAGCCGACCACGTTGATATGTGTTAGACCGTTACATAGTCGTCTCAGCATGACCTGAACAGATTATGGACTTCGTAATATCGTTCTATCTGATGATGAAGGTGATGTTAGCTAGTTGACAGGTTGTCGCGGTATGTTTCCGTCATCTCTGGAGTGCACATCACGTCGTCGTGGGTTGAACTATGCCGCGTGTTTCAGACGCAGATACTCGGAACTTAGGACTTCTGAAAGCCTCTGGTAAGCCAATCTGATGCTATTGGTATTGTATAAATTGAGCCCAATGCTCGTAACGAGGCACGGAACCACACAAACATCTTGCCCTCAACGTCCGCAATTCGATTCCGGGTAGACGATAAAGTTGAGCAAGGTAACTTGTTTTCCTGGGAACTTTTGGCACTCAAGAAAGCAACAACATATTTCTCGTCGTCCCTCACCTTTGGTCGTCGTGAATTCTTCCCACGCCTGTACGATCATCTAGCACCCAGATTACGATGGGATAGCGACTAGTTGATTTTGGCATCCTGCGTTCCCGTCAGGATGGTTCATCTCTTCGTCCAGAATGTAAGTGATTCATCTTCACTATCCCCCTGAACAGCCTTCCACTGCGTCTTCGCTTTTCTCACAATACCTTACTCTCTCAAACCGTCGAACTCATCCATAACAACATGAGCCGCAGTGTAAGTTGCTATAGCCCAACTAAGAATGATTCAAGTGAATCGACGACATCGTCGCCAGCCAGACAATGGACTCCAACTCGTGTTTTGGAAAGGCATTATATTCAGGGCATTTGAGCACACGAACGTTTCTCAACAATCACCATCCAAAATTACAGATGGTCTGCTAGCCGCGGTCGGCCTGTCGAGTTACTTGCGACAGCTTTCCGTAACATACTGCTGAACATACTGCTAGGCATGCTCAGTCAGTCTAGTCTGAAAGATCTCAGGACTCATCTTTTTCAGTTGTACGAAAGCAATATGATTCCTTAGTCTTACACATATTATCCTTTGGTCCTTTCATACCGAGTGAGCTGAAGGTTTCCAAGAGGTTGATACATATAGATAGTAATACCTAGCAATGTTCTTAGATGCCCAGTATGGGAATGTCAACCAAATCATCCAAAACCCCGACTGCGCGTCGAATCCGCCGACGGATGTCGTCCAAGAATTCCTGAATCCTGCTCACAGCTTTCCGGTACATGTCGCGTATGCTGTGCTCGAGTGGGACAGCCTCGCTTGCGTCTCTTATCATCTGAGCTAACAAATGGATGTTGATGAGTCCCTTTGCAGTTCTCTTGAGCACCTCTATCACGTCCCCATATTGCCCTTTCGCATTCTCATGGGTAGACTGTGGCTCTTTAGGATCCGAACTGGTAGTGTGTGGCTCTTTGGGAGTCGAAATGGTAGTGTATGGCTCTGTAGGGTCCCCAATGATAGTGTGTGGCGCCTTCGTAACCCAAATGGTAGTATGTGTCTCTTTCGTAATCAAAGTGGTAGTATGTGGCGGTTTCCCATCCGGATTGGTAGGGAGTGAAGGTTTTGAGAAGGAAAGAGTGCGCCAAAGATGTGCGCCGTGAACGCCCAGGTAAGCAGCAATGAGAGTGATGAGAAACAACTTGAAGAATAACCGGCGAAGGTATCTTTGGAGACGCTGGCGATCCAGTCTCGTCGGTCTGTAGGTAAAATATGCCTCGCAAGCGGCCCAGAAAACCAGCGCCAAAACGGGGAAACCCAGGATCTGGACCAAGGGAAAGCTGAGTGGGCCGTCTTCTAGGTCGAAGCCATGAACCAGCAGAAGAGCCATGTATCCTATAGCGAGCGGAACAATGAAGTATAGATACCGTTCAAGACTGAATCTAGCGTTGGGTATGATATTCCCTTCTCCGCTATCGTTTGGGCTGCGGCGAAGTGCTTCCTCATGTCTCGATGGAAGTTTCACCGACTCCAAACTCACGCCCATCGTTTTCGCAATGTCTTGCTGTACGCTTGTGAAGGGGACCACATAGCCGATGCCAGGTGACCGTGCCACTACCATACCAAGGAGTTGGGCGTGAGCAGGGTCGACTACCCAAGAACCAGAGTCACCTGCCTCAAGACCTAGGTATGTTGGTTAAATTCAGTCTAATCTGCGTTCAATGAATGAGACTGATTCATACCTTGGTGATCGAACCCAATCGTCCAAATCTCCTGCACCGTCCCGTCGGTCGAGATCATTGACGAAGGATTTGGGCACATGACGCAGTTCTTGAGGCCACCCATTCCCGAGATAACCCACGTTTTCCTTGGAGATCCCGGATCACGCTTGAACATCTTACGCAGATCCTTGCAGATGTGCTCAATGAAGGGGTTGGACCGGGCCCATGCTGGCCCATCCCGCTGCTCTGGTATCTCGTTGGGCAAAAGACCACCTGAATGAATCGGAACCAGCTGCCAATCTCTCCCAACGAGTAATTCGTCTTCATCGATCCGGAATGAGAAGTAACCTTCCTCGCCAGGAGATGTATCGGCGCTCTGGCTTTGATCAAGTTCCTCGGCTTCCTGGGGTCCGCTGTCTTGGTTGTCTTCGTCCGCAATATGGGAATGGGCAAGCCTGTTGACATCTCCATCGTCTTGCTCTTCCCCGTACCCTTCTTCCTTACTTTGATCTTCCTCAACGATGAGAAGACGATAACTTTCGCAAAGTTCTTGCCACTCCGTCTCGGAAGCATCATCGTTAGGAATCAGCAGCGAATCCGGCTGAAGTTTGGCGCCATAATTGTGGACTTCCATGTCTTGTTCACTATCTTCGGGAAGGTGTCTAGTAGTGGTTGCAAAGAACTTGCCGTTCACCTTCATCAGACCTCCAATTGTCGACGTCCGCTGCGACGACTTCGAGCTTCGCACTACTATCAACGATCCACAGAGCGTTTTGTCGCTCATCACCTTCGCTTCGCACGTCGCTAGTGCCGCTGCTTGTACGCGAACGGGAGAATAGCAAAGTTTGAGAAGAGTAGACTTTTTGTTTGGGTACTGCAGCCAATGTTTGTTGTATCTCCGCCGCCAGTAGGCGTGAAAATCCAGGATTTCTTTCTTCTGCCCCAGCCCGGCTACACAAATCCGAGTTTCGCTTTCTATGGCAGGGTCATTTGATGCTTGGATGCGGACCAAATGTGTCGTGGTCGTGGGTAACAAGCGGTGGGGACTGGTCAGGATCTTGTGCCGAGAACCCCGGATCCCGTCGTCAAATCTCTTGCGAGCCCAGTATTGTTCAACAGTAAAGTGGTAGTTGAACTCTGCTGCCATCTTGGGAAGTGCGTTGTACAGGCCCCACCAGCGGCTTTCCAGGACCTCCACTTCGTGTCTGATAAGTGATGATGGATGCTGGGGTCGAACGGGAGTCTGGGGTCTGTACGGCGTGAGACTACATGTAATGATCGTGTGACATCATAGGGGTTCATACTTCGGAAGTTCATCTGAAGATAGGCTCCTGCTAGTCCCAACAGCCGTTCCTATGGACGGAACTGCCAGATCTGTGTCGTCGTCGTTGTCTCTGCGAGAAGAGTCATCCCGACTGAGGAGGCTCTTCGTATTTTTGTATGTCTCGGACTCTGTATCACGCGGACCACGCGCAGCAAGACTCTCTCCCGGGATACCATGCGACGTAAAAGTGCCGGCAGAGGTGTCCCTTTCTTGTGAAGGTTCCTCGCCGTCAAAGGCATGGTTCCCTTCAGGATCCATTGTCTCTTCGATAAACAAAAAAATGAGCTGCCGTGCGTGCAGAACTGCAATGCTTGATCGGCAGAGGCTTTGAATGAGGGAAGAAGGCTCTTCTTATGGATGCCACTCCTCGAGAAACACTAAACCACTTTTGGATCGCTCGTGTAGCACCTGTAGCCTTGAGCGAATGGAATCAGCCAAGTCAGAAAGAAATAGCCTCATCTTTCAAAGTTCCCATGCGTGGGATTCGATTCTGATCTTCCGCCCCTCAACTCACGCCAACTTAACAGCTTAGATATCTTCCAACTACTGACACGATTATACCTTAGTATATTGGAACTAGAACTACTATTGAACGAAGAAGAAATAGAATAATCAGGAGCGTCATCAGGAGCCTCATTGTAAGGGGATGCTGGCGCGTGTCGAGGTCGCTAGTATCCCAGACATGACTGGCTGAAAGGTCTGAATGCGGAGAGCGTAGAGGTGGCTCAGCTGATACGGATGTGACGTTTAGCAGTATGTTGTGACCAGTCAGGTCGTAAAACAGTGAAACATATTTCCGGGCGGATTCGCTGACTGCATAGTATGCAGTCAGCCTTCTCTTACTTGGGCTGGGACGTATGGCCAGGGCTGGTTCGCCATTGTCGAGAACTTAAGGTCCTTCCTTCATCTCTAAACTCTGCGGCCTTTGGATGCATTTCCCCGTCACTTAACCCTACACCAATGATCGGCCTCGTCTCAGTTCCATGAGAGATGGTCCAGGCCATCGTGTCAGCTGATGACGGCTTCGTCCTTGACGACGTTCGAACCCTCAGCAACTCCGGTACAACCCAGCCAACATCTGAAGAGACTTCCAGAACAGTCGAAGGGGCTTTCACAATACTAAAGTCGAGGCCGACGTGCAAAAAGAAAGCACTTGTCACCGATTACCAAGTTCAAACATCTGCGGCTCTTCTTGAGGAAGCTGTTCGTCATAACTTGAGAACAGGATGCCAATCTCGCGACATAGTCTCTGGAAGCTGCAATCTATTCGAATGGAATGACGAAGAAACTTTAGAAGAGTTCATGAACCGTGTTTACAAGCAATCACCTGAAAGCAGCTCAAGCCAACAGATCAACATCAGCGACTTACGAGCCAAAGTACTGGCGAAGCATGCTAAGATGGAGATCCACCCGACCGACAAAATTTCGGATCATTTATATCTCTATTGTGGGAGAGGATTCAAGATATTATATGTGTTCTCCGGCCGAGGTTTTCTTGAGGACAGTCTGAGCAATCTCGAATCTTCAGGCAGGATACCGGACCTCACCACCGCGGAAGCCTTGAATCAGTAAGCATAGGGAACCAGAGCAATGGAACGACTTCAATTTCTGACCTAAAAAGAGGATGTTTGCCCCCGAGTCTCATAGTAGAGACGTTGCGGACGTTAGATCTGCTGTTTCCGCCCTTGGGCGACAGTGGTTCTCACAAGTTCTTGAAAAGCTGGGTCTATCGCCATAAGCTGGATCAGAGGCTCCTTACCCCATGGCAGGAGTCTGTTAATATGGTCTACGAAGAATCATGGCCGCGAAGACTCCGAGAGTTGTATCAACAGTATCCGTTCTGGGCCCCGCAGCTTTTTGAGCTAGCCGAAGAGGTCAACGACCCTTCGCCTGTTACTCGATGGGATAGATACGCCAAGCGCAGGCGGTCTCAAACACAAATGTATAAGTGTGCATTTGCTGCTCTCATGGTAGCTGCCATCTCTGGGGTGTTGGCGACGATTCTCGCAGTTGTCCAGGTTTGGATCGCATACGAAGCATGGCAAGAGGAGAAGAAGGATGGTACCAGCGGACAGACGCAGTCATAAGGTCATGGGGGATATATTCGGATGTTGAGCACACATTGCTGGTCAACCCATCACATGTGTCCGCCATAAAGATATACACACGATATATTGACGGTCCGAATTTGGAGGCTTCTGTGAGACTTGATACCTTCGAATTCTCGGACACATTCCGACTTGTCCCGTCATCCTCGAAAGCTTCCTTCCATTATATAAGTGTTCATGATCAATTCATGACATTTGTTCCAGGTGTTCCTCTCGCGGGCAGTCACCACGTTCTCTGAAAACCAAGACGGATCGCCTTAGCAACTGGAACTGAGGCCTCGAAGTCCACCGCAGCCCAAAAACCTAGCATTCCCTCCGCAAGTGCTATAGGGAAGTATGGCTACTCTCAAGGATGCGCAGTCAAGCTGACGTCCCGCCTGCATCACGGCCACCCACCTACGATCCACACAACCCACAACACCCATGGCACTAGGTAGGCAAAAAAGACACCAAAAAACATACAACACCAGGTATTCGCTGGTCGTCACCGACCCAACTACTAATCCGGCCCTCACTGGCTTATCTATGGGAGAGCGGACGGGATCCCGAGTTCTCCAGTGGGTATGGTCGTATGTGACAGACACATGAAGCCAAGTTGACTAAGTACCTAGGCTCCAGCGAGATGCCTTGCGTTGTTGGATTTTCCTGGAACCCCGAAGTCATTGAACTATTTACTCATCCTTCGGCAAGGCCTAGCTAGCAATATAAGAAGGGACTATTCATCCGACAAGGTCGTCTTATGCTAATGGAGTCGTTATTCCTCAGTGGTTGCGTCGTTAAACACCACTCGTCCCTCCACTTGGATAGAACAAATCCCCAAGGTAGTTGAATTAGCCGTTCCCCGTCAACGTATATGGAAGTCTCAAGATTTTGCTGAGCAACGTGGTATATGTCCCTCGATTCGGCACGAACAGGCACGAATCAACGAAACCCCTGATCAAAATGATGCTAGATGAGATCGCGGGGTAGTTGATTCGAAATCTAGGGTCTCCGCATTTAGCAATCATCCTCTCTGCTGAGTTGATGATTTGCAGTAGTAGTACTGTGTTGGATGAACAAAAACTAGGCTCTACGATGGTGTTCATCAACTACCGTGACCATGCCGAAAGTGATCGTGCAAATCCCCTACCTCACCATGACTGGGGATCCCTACTTTGGTCTCTACTTCTGCAGTATGGAGAACCTCTCCCTCGGCGACCTCACCCTCGACCTGAGCGGCGGTCTCGGCATCCGCTTCGATCGCAATGGGGCCTTCAACTACAACATTAGCATAGGCACCATCACCATTACTAGCGCTAGTAGCCAAGCCATAGAGACCTGGAACATCGACGGCTTGACAATCGGTACCGTTATTGCCAAAGACGTCAGCGAGTGCGGTCTTCTCCTCCAGAAGGTTACCAACGCTCGAATTGGTCTCGTGAATGGCGATAACGTCGCTTCGGGCAGTGGATACACCGCCCTGCGCTTCGCCAATACTAAGAATAACTCCATTCTATCGAGAATCGCTGTAACGTGGCCATCTTGTGCGGCGTCGTCAGGACGATGGCGGGAGCGTGCGAATCGCGGCTCGCGACGAGTTTGAAAACACCCGGGACGTCTGAGGCAAACGATATCACCGTTACTGACAACCCCTGTGGCGACAACATCACCTGGGATATCATTGGCAATGCCGAGCTTGATATCTGCTAGAGTGTGTGGATGAGGAAGAAAACTCGGGGTGGGTTTAACTCTCAGATTCTCTGGAGCGGACTGGTTAAATCTGAGATGAACCACTAAGCTCGCAAGACCCCAGCATTCGACCAAGACGTGACAGCACTGGTATATTGATGCAGAAATCTGTGTACATGTCTCGTCCGCGCCTCGGCGGCGGACACTCCTTCTCCGTACTTTTTGTGAAATTCGTACAATCGCAGCGGCGGAACAGAAGGGTGGGACGAAACGCACCAGTCTGAACAAACAAAAAAGAGAGTAGATGCGTCAATTCGATGCGGTAGGTCCAAAGGTATCATAACGCTCGTGGCCGGACCAACCCTCCTCAAAAGCCCCCCTTTCCCGGTATTCCCTTTCGATGGAAGAAAAAAACACACGCGGCATCCCGTTCTATTCCAAAAATGCCAAACTCCGAAATCGCCCAGGCTCGACGGTCCGAACCACATTATTACGGCCTGGAACCGCTTACAACTCCTTAGCCCCGGCGACAGCCGCAGGATCGGTACCGCATGGGCTGTCGCTATGCTTCCGGGGGGGTATGGTATCATGTTGTCCTGCCCAGCAGACTAGAAAAATCATTGCGCGCTCTGCGACCTCGACCGATTGCCGTGTCGATTGGGTCGTGGAGTGCTGTGGCTGTTGCCCTCCCGTCCGGCGCCAGCTCGCACCGCATCGGTGTAGCTGGGTATCGGGGGATGCGAGGGCCCCGCCGACGCGGCCACCGTGGCGCCTCGACTCCTGTTAAGAACCCGAATGAGAGGCGTGTTCTCGCTATCGGTGCTGTTGCGGCGGCTTCCGGCTTCCGAGGAGTCGGGACTCGTATACTCGGGAGGAGGGTTCAAGGCGTCTTGAAGCCCAAGCCCTACGACGCTTTGCCCTTCGTGCCCAGCGTTGCGGCCGCTGGGCTCACCACCCTCATCGCTGGGCACAAAGTGCGTCAGGGAGATGTCAGTCGGGCTTCTCACGGGACCGGGGCTCCTCGGTGGTAGTACTCTGAAGTTTCCGCTTCTTGTGCGTCCATGCGTAGGTCCCAGGCCAGTCTGCGAGTAAGACTGCGTCTGCGTGTGTCCCCGTTGCTGTGTCGTGTTGCCAGTGTAACCATCCTTGCGCCCAGCCTCCAGGAGAATGTCCCCCTGCTCGGAGCCGTACGGCGGAGGAGGCGCAAGGCTGCCGGTCATGGGGGCGAGACCCCACTTCTTGACGTTGGCCTCGATGAATACGAAGCCGGCCTGGCCAAAGTTGACGTGAATGATGCAAGGACCATTGGCCCCGATGGCAGGGAAGAAGTTTTGTGACTTTACACCGTGAACGACATCCTCCAGCTTCTTACCGTTGCGGGTGAAGAAAATGGTGCCCGTTCGGGGTCGGTAGCCAACGCCAATGACGTCGCCTTGTACGTATTGGGGAGCGTACGGGGTGGCGTTGAAGGGCTGATTGCATCGACGCTGGCCTGTTGACAGGTATGCGGCGGAGTGTTTGTGGAAGCCTAAAGGGTTAGCTGATGTAATAGAATTCGGACGAATCCATCATACCAGGTAGTCTGAACAGCGGATACGGCTTGGTGGCCATGCCGATACTGATCAAGGTGTTTTCGGGCTTGTCGTAGATCTTGGCCTCCCAGTAGTAGACTTCGTTTTGTTTTGGTACAGGGAGGTTGCTCATGACGGTGCATTCGGAGTCGAAGAACTCGATTTCGGTGCGGGCTTCGACGAAGCAGTTGGCGATTTCCAGCTCGGGCTCGAACTCCCAGGCGGAAACGCCCTTTTCTTGGATGGCGAGGTATTGCGATAAGGATATATCGGTCTGGAGGGACTCGGGCGGGTTCGCGTTGATGAAAGCTAGAGTCGTTGGTCAGTCAGGTCATTCGTGTGCGGGTGCGGATGCGGCGGCAAGTTGGGTACCTTTTGCCCGCAAGTACTCAGTCCGTTGCATGTCGTCCATGGACTCGAGGGCCTCGGCCTCTTCTCTCGCGAATGCCTGCTCATCGTCGTATTCGCCGGGTCGACCGATGCGATCGAGAAAGATGCGGCCGCTTGCAGTGTATCTGAAGAAGTAGATGACGAGGAAGATGACGGCGATAAGAACGGCGGAGCCAAAGGAAGACAGCAATCCAATGACGACGCCGTTCAGGGCTGATGACGGGATTGTCGGAGCCATGACGGGCAGGCGGCGACGGTCGTCGAGTCAATCCGGTCGGTCGGTCGGTCGGTCGGGGGAGGAATGGAATCGGTCGATCGAGAGGAGGGACGGCTGGCGTCACCGCCGCGAAAGCAGCATTCGGGGGTCGACTCGACAGTGGCGGATTGTCGCAAGCAAGGGCGATGGATAAATAAATAAAGAGTAGAGAAAGAAAGGAAGATCAACGTCGACGGACGGAAGGGAGTGAAGGCAAGGACGAAGACGGAGGCGAAGAAGAGATGTACGGATTGAAGCGGAATGGTTGGTCGAGGACCAGGTAGATAGGTAAGGTCAGACGAGCGTTGTCGTCGGCGTCGTCGTCGTCGGGCGGTTACTAGCAGGGCAGAGGTCGCAGTAGGATGGATCTGGAGGGCGGGCACCTGGAGAGCGGTGCGGTGCGGTGCGGTACGTGCAGACTCGCAGAACGGTTGGTGCGGTGCTGATGCTGTGCAGCGGTACACAGGCAAGCAGTCGCCAGTTGCTATGAAGACGAGCCAAGTCGCAGGATGATGGGGGCCTGGGCTGCTCTTCCAAGGTTCAAGTCTGTGGCGGGTCCTCAGCTGAGAGAGATCTGGGCTCTGGTCTCTCTGCTCTGGGCTCTGGGCGCTGTGCGGCGCAGTAGGCTGGGCCGTCCGTCGTAAGGCAAGGTACGAAGTGAGTGCGGTATGCGAGCTAAGGTACCTTGGGTCGGGCAAGGTTAAAGATAAGGCGAAGACGGATGGACGGGCGGATGGGAAGGACGGAAGCAGTTGGAATGCCAGTGTCTCTATGCCTATGCCTATGCCTCTGTCTATGCAGGACGGGCAGCGTACAGGGCGTCGCAGTTGCAGTCGCAGCCGCAATCGTAGTCGCAGTTGTCGCAGATGGGACGAGAACCGAGGGAGGAATCGAAAAGAAAAGAAGAGAGAAAGGCGACCGGGCGTCTGTCTGGTTTGTTGATATTGTGTGGCTGTTGCTATTGGTGTTGCTGGATGCTCGCTGTCGCTGTGTTGGGTCGAGGGGCGGTGGAGAGGGATGGAGAGGAGAAGATGGCGGATGAATAAACGATGATGACAAGACGAAAAAGCAACGAAAACCACAAGCAAGGGCTTTTAGTGGTTCAAATCAATCCAAAGGGCGGGCGCGGCGCAGCGCGGAACAGGAACGACTTGAGAGAGAAAAAAGACCGAGATGGAGGCAGACGGACACTGAGAGAAAGTCGTCGGTTCAGGTTCGAGGAATACTGCTTCTGCTTCGTACACTCACAGTCAGCCCCCCAAAACACAAAAAAACCAGGAGGGGGAAAAAGAAGTACGAATACCGGCGACGGCGGGCGTTGGCACAGGTTCCCTGGACATGTACTTGTGGCCAAGGGGCAGCGGTACATGACTAACTTGGAAATATTGTTAGCATCGTGCACCCGTTTTCGGCTGCGCATTCTAACAGGTGGCGGGGGAATCCTCGTACTGCGGAGACGCCGCGCCCAGTTCTTTTTTTCTCTCTCAGGTCTGGCACCTGGCTCCAGGTCGCGCTGCCCAGTTCCCGTCCGCAGATGACGCTGACTGACGGGTCCCAAGCTCCAGCTTTCCAGGCCCGCGCAGCACGCGGTAGGCTGGTAGGTACATGTCTTGCTGCGGAATCCACCCGCGAACGGCATGTACCTGGCACTACATAGTACACTCGCAGATGGATGATTAACCCACTACCCACAAGCCCAGACCGAAGACTCCGATATCCTGCAGCAATAGTGTCCTTAGGTATGTACGGATAGCCATGGAAGCAAACAAGTTCAACAGACCGCCCCGAATCTACGCTTCTTCCTCCCGTCCTCCTCCGTACTCTGTGGAAGCACCGGAGATGTACGGGGAGGGGACGGAAGAGGAGAAAGTGACGAAATCAACCAACCAGCCAACACAAGACGCCGCCGTGTGTCACTCCCTTCCGGTACCGAGTATCAGCACCCCGGCCATTCATTCTTTGCGTCGCGTGCCATCCGTCCGTCCACCGTCCACGTCCTGTTACCCCTCAGCCGCCGCCATTCCAGGCTCCCCGTTGTCGCACTCTTCTTCACTCTTCCATTGTCACGGAATACTATGACTACGTCCATCACCATCAGCCACATTCTGTCTTCGTCCGGCGCCCCCTTTTCCCTCCTCCACGCAGCCATACCCATCGCCGCTAACGGCCAACAACAGCCTCCCACGCAGTACGCATAAACACCGTCCGCGCGGTTAAGCCTACCTAAGTCTAAGCCCAGGCCAAGGGGTGGAAAGGGAGGAGGGGCCGCGACGAATCGATCTTCCGACTTGTCAGGGTGGCTGGCAGCCCCCGGGCGTCGCCCACTAGTTTCATCGCGGAGGAGAGAGAGCAGCATTGGGTTTCATGCTCTGGCCGTCTTTGTTCCCAAAGAGTTCCCTCGTCGTCTCGAAGCCGCCCGTGCTCAGCCGCATCCCCTTTTTTTTTTGATTTTTATTCCTTTTTCAAAACGTTGTCTCTGGTCGTGGCAATTGTCCAATAATGCGTCTCTTTGTTTTCATGAGAGACACTCTTGGAGAGACATGTGCATGCCTGGCTAGAACATGTGGTAGTGCCCCTCGCCGTCCCCGTCCAAATCCAAATCCATCCCCCCTATTGTCATGCGTCCTTCTCTTCAACGTTATGCGGCAACGGCTTCCATCAAAGCTCTCCGCAATCGTCCAAAGACGGGCCGACGACGCCGAAAACGCCCAATGCTTCCTCCATCCATCTTCGTCTTTTTCGGCCCACGGCGCCCCATTCCACCAGCGTCCGTGTCGTAGTTCGGGTCCGGCCCCCCCATCGCCCATCGTCCATCGTCCAAGGGGCCTAGGCACCTACCGTTTTGGTGCCAAACCAAAAAAAGAAAGAAAAAAGACAGTGCTTCATCGCCATGGACTCCCCCGCGGGGCTTTCCTGTCAAGGTGTCAGTCAAATCTCGTGTGTGTTGGAACACCACCGGGCGTGAACGGCGTCCCGGACGCGCACTGTCGCTAATCGGAAGCACCAGGGCGATGGGGGGCGGGTGCGGGTGGTGGGCGCCCATCTGTGATGCTACGCTTGTTTGTCGAACGAAGAGAAGTGTGACGGTGTGACCCCGCCCGTAGGGCGCCCCTGCATTTTCCCACTTTACGGGAGATCGCCGGCCGGCATGGCGGGATCCACTTCGGGCCCGGTCCCCCAGTCCCGACTCCAGTGCTCCACTCCGGCCCGGATAGGAAGCCACACTGCACAACATTCACCGCAACAGAAAGCGCGTTTGCCATCTCTTCAACAACTGTAAACACAAACTGTCGTCAGTGGAAGTTTTCCCCCTTCACCAAACTTTCGCCTTCCTCGCTCTGAATCATGGATCTGAAAAACTCTTGCCCAGTCAGTGATTGTGACGAGTCTTCAACCGCGACTCACACGAACCGCAAGTCACAATCACTCATAAAAGAAAGACCAAAGGTAAAGGATAAAATGCGGTCCACACGAGCCAGTGGTGGTGATTCGCCAATCTCTCATCCAAGCCATCTCCGTTGATATTCACCGACGCCATCACGGTTCATAAAAGTTGGGTTCTAGAAGCCATCTCCGTTCCCTTTCCCACCAGTACTTTAGGACACCCCCGGTCTCTCTTCTCTGTCTGTTTTTCCCACTATCCTTTTCCAACAATTTTCAAATACCCTACTCGCGACCCTTCTCCGAAAAAAAAGGTATGGTCGTGAAGGTGTATGCCACCGTTCCCTTTTCGACCTTCGATTAAGACATACGCAATCGCCGAACTTCTTTAACATCTTCTTTCCTGTATTCCCTTGGAGAATCCTCTCACAACGGTGCGGCTACAATGCAACAGGCAGGCTATTACTACGTGGAAACACGTCCGATCTGCAGACATTGGGTGTTGTATAAGTGCAACGAACGACAATGCAGGTTCCGGCATGAGGGACCCGGAGGCCTCTATTACTGCCTGAACTGGCTCAGAGGCGCCTGCCCGAACGGCCAGTTTTGTTCGCAAATCCACGGTTCCGGCCCGCCTCCCTCCGTCGACCTCAAGCGGCTGAGGTGTCCGACTCTGGACAGGGAGGGAAGGTGCACTCTAGAAGACCGGTGCCCTTACTCCCACGAGGAATGGAAGGCCGAGTACTTTGACCGGCCGTGTCCTGCCGAGTTGAACGGGTATGTGTGTACAAGCAGAGGCTCGGCTTGTAAATATACCCAGCATAGGCCCGTTGCCGATCAGGCGCAGGAGGAGCAGCAGGCGGAGGCTCAGGTCTCTTCGCCTCCCGAGACGGTCTGGAGAACGAATCCAGTCATCTTCGATGGCACTTGCGGCCGCCGCCCCAAGCCCCGCAACGATAACGGCCCGGACAAGGCGAAGACGGAAGAGCATGCTGGTGGTGCTCCCTCTCAGCCTGCTCCCGCCGAGCCCGCCCCCGTTGAGCCCGCCCCGGTTGAGCCTGCTCCCGTCGAGGCTGCTCCCGCTGAGTCGGCCGCAACAAACAGCACCAGCCGCAGAAGCGGTACCGCTTTTAGAACCCCCCGCCCGCGCCAACCCGGGATGGCCGATTCGGAATCCGAGCACGGTGACAGGCCAACCTACAAGAAGAGCCGGGCCGATGAGGTAGAGGTTGAGCGACGCCAGAGAACGCGCTCCCGGCGAAATACGCGATGAACGGTAAGTGAGTCTACCTTTACTCGAGAAAAGGACGATTGAATGCTGACTGGTGCCTAGAGTGTCTTCCTCGCTACGTTCGGTCAGGTAGGGGCTTCTTCAGTTTTCAATTGCCTCACGAGAACTTCAGTGCGCTGAAGGGATAGGGAAGCGGTGTTCACGAAGGAGGCGCTGGACATTAAACCAATGTTTTCCGGCCTTTATTTTTTTTTTGCGTTAGCTAGAACGATTTTTTTCCCTGTGAATGAACTCATTTATGATCACAAGACGTAAACTGGGCATAGCTCCGCTGGCAGTCGTCGCGGTTCAACACATACATCGTCATCCCTCATCATCCCTCATCGCCCATATCACCACCCATCATCACAACCATTCTTCCTCTTCATACCCCAGCACACAGGCCAAGAATACAATGAAAAAAAAACAGAAGAAGACGAAACACACACAGAAAAAAGTGCGCTCATCAAGGGTTCCAAAAATTAAAAAGGATAAGTTTTCTCCTTTTCTCTCACCACGGTTTCAAAAAATTGTAAGCCTGTGATTCCCCTTGGGATCCAGCCCCAAGGCCAGCCTGCCGACGTCCCCCAGGCAGGAGGATCAAGAGAGTTGGCAAGTCTCCCCGTGAAAACCAGCACCAGGCTCGGGTTTGGCTTGGTGAAGAAAAGAAGAAGAAGTTTTTGGGAGGTCAGCGGGAAGATGGAGGGGTATTTATAGGGTTTGTGGGAGGAGGGCTGGGTTGTCGTGTTGAGGGCTTCACGACTAAGCATCACGACTAAGCGGTCCAAGGTGGTGGATGAGGGGGGCGGAGATATGATGTCGTGGTTGAGAGTTCACTTCAGGGACGTGGGTGCAAAGGGCGAGTCACACGAGGGGGAGAAGTGGCTAACAAAGAAGAAGTTGATGATCTACAAAGATGCTTGTGTTGATTCCCGCGATGCCAACCAACGCTCTACACCCGACTCCATGCGAAAGGGACGCCTCCACGGCGTCCACTGGGTAATCTGTATTTTACAACGATACTCGTCTCATTCTCAAATCGCCACCAACGGCTGATGCTGTTGCTGCTGCTCCTCCCTTGGCTGCTCTCCCTGGGTTTCCTGTGTCTGGTTCTCGGAGTCGTTTCCTCCCGTCTCAGTCGTCTCCTCGTTTTGGTTCTCCGTGTTCTGGGCATTCGCTGCCTCCGCAGCGGCGGCTGCGGCGGCAGCCTCTGCCTCTTCTCGTCTCTGGCGCTCGGCGCGGGCCTCGGCCTCGAGATGAGCGATGTGGCGCTCCGCGACGCCAGGCGCGATACTGGCGAGGAAGAGAAGGCCGGCCCTTTCAAGCCGACGCACCTGATCCATCAACCAGTTGCCATTGTCATGTCTGCGTTGATCCACCAGTCTGGCCGCAGCGCGTGCCGGGTCGGGCTGTCCGTTTGCTCCGATGACATCCTGTCCTTGCCGGGGCCGCACTGGCTCATTGGGGTTGTTCGGCGCAGCCAAGGGGATCAGATTCTCCATATGACGTCTGACCGGTCCCACGGCTTGGTCGAAAAAGCCGTTCAGCAGACCCGTGTTCAAGACGAAGATGCTGAGGGCAATGAACACCACTGCAAACCACCTAGACCAGCTGGCGTTGGGCGAAGTGAACCACCACACGAACAGCCCGAGCCTAACAATCAACCAGAAGTGAGGCCACACTTGCGCAATCAATGGAGCAATGCCGGGGTTGTTTGGGTGGGCTGGTACAGCCGCGATAGGAGGTTGTCCCTGCGGCTGAACCTCTGGTTGAGGTTGTGCCTGAGCAGGCTCGGCTGGTTGGGCCGGCTGCTGCTCATCTTGGGGTACTGCCGGGTTTGGGAAAGGAACCCACTGGGTCCGTCTCCTCAAACCGGTAGTAGCTTGTGCCGGATTGTAGAAGGGAAGAGGCTGGTGTCTAACGGTTGGTGTGTAGTATGTTTCTGAATTGTTGTTCATGAGGATAGCCCGGGGTCCTTGCGGCGAGTTCAAGATGTAAACCTCCGGGCCGCTCGGCGATTGCCGCTGCATAGAAGCCGAGTGTCCGCTGCCGCCGCTGACTGAACGTGCGGTGGGATCGGGCGTAGCACGCCGGCTGCTTGCCCTAGATCCCGGCGTAGGGTAGTAGGGCGTCGTCACGCCGACTGAGCCATTGGCGAGAGAGGTGTTCGAGGCGCTCCGTCGCATGGCGTTGGTCATGGCCAGAGTTGCTTGACCAGCATCGGCGCCTCGGAGTATGTTGTGCACCTCCGAGGCCGACAGCGGCGCGGTACCACCCTGGCCGTGAACATTCAACGAGCCGCCGATAACAGTCTCGTTGACCGTCACACGGTATGGCTGCCCGTTCGGCATCACGCCCTCCCTAACATACGTGTGCGCATCCGGGTTCGCAGGACTGACCCGGCCGCGTGTGGGGTCTGCGGGATTCGCGGGCGCGTTGGGATCACCAATGCCATGCAGACCCAGAGACGCCCTCATAGACTGATTTTGGTTGATTTGCTGGCTGGCCATAGCTCTATTCATGGCCTCACGATGTATTCCATTCATCCACGCCGCCATGCTCTGGTGCTGCTGCGCCTGCATCTGCTGAATCTGCTGCGGCGTCAGGTTCGAGGGTATCTGGGACGGCGTCGGGAACGGCAGAGGATTCGAGGTCGGGTTCAAGGGAGTTCTCCTGGTAAAGGCCGCGGCCGTAGGCTGGCTTCCATGGTGGTGCGCGTGGTGAGGTTGACCGCCGGCGTTAACGGGAACGTGGAACTGGGCGATCGGCGGCGCCGGGCTCGAGCCGCGAGCGAGCGCCGGTGTCGGTGTCGTCGAGCGGTGCGTTTCCGCGACGTCTCGGAGAACGAGATGAATAGTCTGCTGGTCGGTGTTGCGAATCTGATCGGTCAGCGTTGCGCGATGTCAGCAGGGCGGGCAGCTTACGACTTCCTCTCCGATGACGTTCAACAGAGTGTCCCCGTCCTGCTGCAGGGGCCGTCCCCTGTAGATCAATCGTTGCTGAGCATCGGTCGGCTTGAGAGGCAGCGACTGACGGATCTTCTCTTTCAGCTGGCGAACCGTGGTCGAGGCGGAGAGACCGGGGAAGACGAGAGGCCGGCTGGAGCTCGCGGCAGTCGATGGCGACAGCACCTGCAGATTTACGGACAGGTGGTCGGAAGGGGCCTCTGGCGCAGGCAGCGCGGTCGAAGACGGGGCTTCAGAGGCCATAATTACGGCCTATCGGTCATGCCACGCAAAGCGCAGGTTGGCAGCTTCGTCGAGTGACCGCCGAAATGTGCGGGAGGTGTCTGGTGGTGGTTGCGCGCGAGGACACGATGCTCATGTCACCGCCGTTGGTATTGGAATTTTAGGACATGTGTTGCCCTCCGACTGCAGACAGTATCGGTAACGTACCTAGCTCAGGTACGGAGACCCGCTGGCCTCACTAAAACGGGGTACGTACCCGGTCCCTGGGCGCCGGGAAGCCCGATCCATGCACGCTGTCCCAATTGGACGGAAGGTGACAGCTGGATTATGTAAGCCTGATGGGATGCATCTCATCGTCCAAGCCAATCATGCACTTCTCTTGCTGAAATCAATTTGATGTCTATGAATTGTGCTGCGCAGATCTAAGGCTCTCTGTCTCGTGAAGCCTTTCTCCAAAACACACTGGCAGTCTATTGAATTCTCATCCGAATTCCTTCCTTACTTTCGTCATCCCCTTCCAATATTCCGATTCGTAGTCGTCCCCGTTCCCATGGCCTGTCGCCATACGCCGCCGCTCATCATGTCTTCGCATATCGACCTCGCTCCATTCGTCATCGTCAATGTAACTCCATGCTGCTGTTGATTTCGGTCTCGCTTCTTCGCTTAATCTTCCTCTTCCGAAACGTCATTGCTCGTGGACTCTTGGGATTCCGAACCACCGCTCGCAGTCGACTCGTCGTCTCCGTCCTCGCTATCTCGGTAATTGTCGTTTGCTGTGATGTTCTCACTCCTGAGTTTCTCGTCTGCTTTTTCCAATTGGGCAAGCTGGAAAGGCACACCGGGGCACTTCTCAAGATGCTCTGAATACTCAGCTTCAGAGTGTACCACGTTGGAGGCATTTTGGTAATGGTGCCAGACCTCATTCTTACTGAATTCTTTGAGACTGTCTGGAATCAGTTGCCTCCAGTTAGGAAGCTTCCAAAACTCTTCGGAGAATGTCCAGCAGCTGCCGCAAGCGTAGCCGAAATCTGGGCCAGAGTTTGAGAGAGATGGGAACTTGCAGACTGCAGTGCCTAGGAAATAGTCTCCTGAGTCGTAGTCTGCCCCCGCAGAGCTCAGACGCCGACCGGGGGGCTCCAACTTCATGGAATGGATTCTCTGAATGAAGTCGTGGCGACTACATCTTTCGAAGTAGGAGTCGGCTTCGGCTTCCTCTGTCGACGTCACAGGATCTCCTGTGAATATATAAGATATGTCGACGAAAGGAGGGGGTGCAGGCTTCAACAATGCCAACGCCTCCTCTGATCCATGAATCTCAAGCCCGAGTTGCTTCACTTGTTTCGCACTTACAAGGCGGTTGATCGGCCCCAAGTTACAGTGATATTCCCAAAATCCGTACGCTCCCGGAATCACTCGCATGATGGGGATGGTGCCGAGCTGGTCGTCGCTCAAGGAGAAGCACTCTTTCGCGAGACTCGGTGTCGTCATCCAAAATGCGTCATTGTATAAGACACACGTGGGGCAAATGCGCTCGCAGGTTGGTAGGAATAGTAGTGGCCCGAAATCGAAACAAGAGGCACACTTCTGCGACCGAAGCACTTGTCGAAGAGACGCTGCGGAATGGTGACTGATGATGTTGGTCTTTCCGAGAGCTGTCAAGACTTCGGGGGCGTGTTCGATCATGTCGATAAATGCAGCTAAGCCCTCTACTATAGTCTTCCCCTTTCTTGAAGTGCGCATCAGGCGGGAGAGACTCCGGAAGTCGAGCTGCTCGATGATGAGGAGTTGAAGCTCCGGGGGTAGCTGATCGATATTGCCCAGCCTCGAGTGACTGGAGTCGATGCGCAATGTTGATGGCTGAGCAGGCAGAACTGTGATGCAACCGTCATAAACTTCCTGGAGCCAAGAATCAGTCTCATAGAGACGACTGTCGGCCTTCGGTGAGAGGGAAGGCAAGGATTTTGTGGTCATACTGGGCAGGTGCGGCCGCGTTGGTCGTAAGGCCTGTTGTTCGCGAGTATATCTGTAATTTATCTCGATTGCGAGGTAATTGACGCTATGACGATTTGAATGAGGTAACTGTCAGAAAACTCTGCGATGAATAGGAGGGGTTGAGGGTTGAGAAAGGTGGTTGATGGATGGGTGTTGTGAAATCGGCGAGGTGCCTAAGGTAGGTAGGTAGGTAATTAGGTAGGTAATTAGGTAGGTAATTAGGTAGGTACCTTAAGGTACCTTACCTGAGGTGGTCAGAAAGCTAAAGAGGGAAGTTGCTGACTGAATGGCACCTGCTGATTTCTTTTTTATGTGCTTAAGGTCTTTTCGAAAAATTGAGAGAGAGGTTGGTTAACTGCCTGGAGACTTTGGAGGTTATCTACCTTACCTACCTCGGAAGAGGGAAGTGGGCTTTGTTCCAGGTGAATGTCGTAAGGTAACAGGCGAGCAAGATATCTGCAGGTTTTATCGGGCTGTTCTTCAGTTATTTCTCGATGCTTGCTCACTTATGAAAAGAGGCAAATGTCTGCACTTCGGAGTATAGGTACTGATTCAAATTGTGTGTGAATGAGAATAGGGAGCTGCTCTCGTTTTGCCATCTCTGTGAGGCTCTCCCTAGAGTAAGAAGTCCGAGAGGGAGAAACAAGTTTAGTCTTTCATCGAAACGCAAGATATAAACTTGATGTCTCAATATTGCTCATATACTCGGAAAGGTCGTAGTGGTTGAAGTTGTAAGTCGTGTGTCCCAAAACAGACTAGCGCGTTCACATGGTTCTCGCTGCGTCATGCCACAGCTAAAGCTCAACCTGCAAGTTCTCATCGCAAAAAACGACCTCGCCGCCGACGCAGCAATTGTCGCCCCCCGCAAACCCGGCAGAGCTCGCGGTTCGGATTCCTCACCACCGATTGAGGTCTTTCAAACGCATCATGGCCACGCTGTACGCTCGACAGAGCCAGCTACGGGCCCACCTCCTCCACGGGCCCTTCTCCTCGACCCGATTCTTCTCCCAGCAGTCGCAACACCGCCCGCGCTTCTCCTCCCGCTTGAGGCACGCCCTCAAGAACTCCAAGGTGCAGTGGTACCAGATCCCCGTGGGGGTCGGTATCGGCTTCCTGGGCCTCGTCCAGTTCTACAAGGTCTCGTCGCGCGACCGAGAGAGCCAGGAGAGGTCCGAGGTCCAGGATGCGGCCCCCAAGAAGCGCGCAAAGATCAGGCCAGACGGACCGTGGCAGGTCCAGGTCATGTCTACTCTCCCCCTGAAGGCCATCTCGAGACTCTGGGGTCGGTTCAACGAATTGACTATCCCCTACTACCTACGCATTCCCGGTTTTAAGCTCTACTCATGGGTTTTCGGTGTCAAGTAGGTCACACCATCGCGTCCCCGGAGACGCTGCTAACCTCGACAGCTTGAACGAAGTCGCCGAGCCCGATCTGCACGTATACCCGAATCTCGCCTCCTTCTTCTACCGTCAACTCAAGCCCGGTGCCCGACCCCTCGACCCGAACCCTCACGCGCTGCTCTCCCCGTCCGATGGCAAGATCCTGCAGTTCGGCCAGATCCAGGGCGGTGACATTGAGCAGGTCAAGGGCATGACATACAGCGTCGACGCGCTCCTCGGAAAGAACACTCCTACGTCCAGCATCGCCAGCGGCTGGTCTACACCGCAGGAGGCCGAAGCCGCTAGGATCACCGACAAGGACATCTCACCCGACGAAGAAGTGGTCAAGACGGACGAGGAGTTCGCCCGCGTCAATGGCATCTCGTACACGGTTCCCAGCCTGTTCTCTGGCGCAGCAATGGCCAAGAAGGCGGGCTCTCTCAAGGACGAAGCCGCGGGACCCCCGTCACCCTCTGCCGAGTCCGAAGTCCGCGCCGACCTCGCCCTGGGCGAGAAGCCGTGGTACGATGTGATCTCTCCCGAGAACAAGACCTCTCTCTACTACGCCGTCATCTACCTCGCCCCCGGAGACTACCACCGCTTCCACTCCCCCACGAACTGGGTCGTCGAGCGCCGTCGCCACTTCGCCGGCGAGCTCTACAGCGTCTCGCCCTACCTCCAGCGCACCCTCCCCGGTCTCTTCACACTCAACGAGCGCGTCGTCCTCCTCGGCCGCTGGCGCTACGGTTTCTTCAGCTACGTCCCCGTCGGCGCCACCAACGTCGGCTCCATCAAGATCAACTTTGATCGCGAGCTGCGCACCAACAGCCTGACCACCGACACGGCGGCCGACCGCGCCGCGGAGGAGGCTGCGCAGCGCGGCGAGCCGTACTCTGGCTTCGCCGAGGCCACCTACGCATCAGCGAGCAGGGTTCTCGGCGGCCACGCGCTGCGCAGGGGAGAGGAGATGGGTGGTTTCCAGCTCGGCAGCACGATTGTGCTGGTGTTTGAGGCGCCTACGGAGAGCAAGACGGCGGAGGACCACACCGGCTGGAGATGGGCCGTCGAAAAGGGCCAAACGGTCAAGATGGGCCAGGCGTTGGGATACATTGACGAAGAATAAAAATGTCTCGGAAGACACATGCCATGTACACATATAATCGACAGACAGAGTCGAATGATACAACGTTGATCTAATTAGCTGTATGAAATCTATGACTTGGCGCTGAGTCTGTCGCGCCAAGCGTTGAACTGCCAAAAACGGATGTCAGATCTTTATTTCAGCCACAATTCCCAATCATTGGTCGTCACCGTGCTTGTGCATCCCGAGAAAAAAAAGGTTGAAATCATTCAATGCGTAAATTCATTAATCGCGCTATTCTATACGACCCGATTGGGGGGTCCGCTGTAGTAAACTCCGCTAAATGCTGGTATGTATCAACACCCCATCTACACCTCTATGCACCACCGTCTAAGAGCTGTAGGACTTGAAGATCTCCTCGATGGGCTTGAAGTCCTTGGGGCCGGCGTCGCCGGTCTTGCCGCCGAAGACGAGCTGGGCGTTGAGCTTCCAGGAGGCCGGGACCTTCCACTCGGCGGCGACCTGCTGGTCGACGAGGGGGTTGTAGTGCTGGAGGTTGGCGCCGAGGCCCTCGGCCTCGAGGGCGGTCCAGAGGGTGAACTGGAGCATGGCGTCGGACTGGTTGGCCCAGACGGGGAAGCGGTCGGCGTAGAGCTGGAACTTCTCCTGCATGCCGTTGACGACGTCCTGGTCCTCGAAGAAGAGGACGGAGCCGGCGGCGCCCTTGAACATGGCCATCTTGCCGGCGGTGCCCTCCCACTGGTCGGCGGGGACGATGGCCTTGAGGACGCCGGTGGCGATGTCCCAGAACTTCTCGTGCTCGGCGCCGTGGAGGACGACGACGCGGTTGGACTGGGAATTGAAGGAGGAGGGGACGTGGGCGAGGGCCGTCTTGACGATCTCGTCGATGCGCTCCTTGGAGATGGGGAGGTCCTTGGAGAGGGGGTAGTAGGTGCGACGGGCCTTGATGGCGTCGAGGATGACGTTGGCGTTGCCGGACATTTTGAGGTTTCGGGGGGTGGTTGTGAAGTGTCTGAGTGACGGTTTGTTTGTGGTGGTTGTGAAGAGTGGAGCGAGTCTGCGTGTTGTCTGGAATGCGATTCGAGTGATGGAGTTCATGGCTTCCTTCTTTCCCCTGTGGACGAGAGCAGCAGGTCTGGATGGTTATATACTGCTGCGAGGCAACGGGATGAGCTACCACCTTGCCTTGCCGTCTCAGAATCCGTTGGAAACCCAACCCCCACATTCGAACAGCGCAGCAACGAGAGCAAGCAACGGACCAGCATGAGAGCTCCAACAACCCGCCCGCCAGCCGCGGGACCTTGCCCAAAACTTGGCTCCATCCGGGCCTTCAGGCGTCCCGATCATCAGACGGCGGCTCCATCGTGATTCGTGACTGGGCGCTTGACGCAGGGCCGGCCGCTGAGCAAATGGTGTGGTAATCAGGGACGAGATTACCAAGACAGCAGCAAGCAGAGAGCCTAGGATCCTGGGGGACCTGCGACTCTCAAACTCTGGGGGCCTCGCTCGGCCGCCGCGAAGGAAATGGAATCGATAACGTGCTTCTGGCGGCAACACCCCCCTACCTTGTCAAACAAATTGTCATGCGGAGTTTTTTCTTCTCTCTCGACTGCGGCGCTGAAGAATCATCCCTGCTTGGTTCCTGCCGCTTGGCCCGTCTGGGAAAGGTGGCGATGGCAAAGCGGAGGGAAGCGCAGTTGACATCATCCCTTTGGCGGGGTACACCTCGTTTTCGGGGGCTGTTGACTGTTGAGCGATTGCCTTCCATTGACTTTTAGAGACGGCCAGCGGTTATTGCCAACTTACGCCGGCAGACACAGCATGCTGTTACTGTCTACCAATTCAATTGTTGAACATCAATCTTGATCCGGTAGTATCGCAAAATTCGGGAAAAGATCCCAACCTGGACATTATGCATGCAAACACGCAGCGAAGCGGCCGCGCGGGATTGCGAAAGCGACCAACGACGAAAATTCTAGAACTGCGCGCCCTCCAGCCTGCCTGCCCCTCCTCCCGAGCAACCAGGGCGGTGAGAAGAGCCAACCACCGCAAAACCACCCTTCAGTCATCCATCAATCAGCCGTCCCAGTCAAGCTCGTGTCCCAAGATCAACCTCCCCAGCGCCACTCCCGATGGCAGACCCTGCGGGTATCGTTGCCGGACCTGGTCCTCTTAGTCCGGAGGAGCGCTGCGTCGTTGCCCCGCTGCAGTGAGAACCCAAATCCACATGGCGATGGTCGTGGTTGCTTAGGAGATCGGGGGAGTCCCTTACGATCATCGAAAGATGGGTTTCGCGGGCGGGCGGTGAATCATCCAGGGAAGAAGGAGTCAGAGGACAGGCGGATTGATCCTGCGCCTACGATGTCTTCACCGAGCGCGCGGCTCGGAAACCCTTCAGCTTTCAAATCCGCTTACATATTGCATCCCGACAGCCTCGCAGAATGCATGCGGTGAAAAGACGAAAGGATAATGTAATCGGCCGCGCGACTCATCGAATCCTTCTCGACAGTGACTCTCTCTGCGCGCGCGCGCGACATCCTCTGGCAGACAGGTAGCACGCCAGCCGATGACTAGTAGATGAATAAGCCGAGGCCCATCGCTCCATAACCGCGCGGGAGACTCCACCCACCACACACACCTTCGATGGCGCGCGGTCACGGACCCCCCAAGGGGGCAAACACCAGCGCCCGATCTGTGCCGCGGCGATTCCGGAATGGACACCGTGGGAAGCGGATTGGTTCCGAGTCGGAATTAGAAAGCGCCGCGGGGCTTTCCTCTTTGGCCCCGGCCGGATTTATGTTTGCGGGATTGGCCTGAGCCGGTCCGAATCGCCGTAAAGAGCCCCCCCGGGTCGTTGACTTGTGGTGTTTCGGCGGTCGCAGTCGAGGACGGGGCCGCCGCCGGTCTGGCTGTGTCTTTCCGGGCCGTGTGGTCTGCGGAATGCGGATGTTCATCACGAACGGCCCGGTGCCGGCGCGGGCCTGATACTCGGGCGGTGCGGAGGCTTTTGCCATGATTGTGGATTCGGCGATGATTTCGTAACCGTTGAAGCCATACGGGCGGGAGAGTTTCCATGCCGAGAAAAAGGATTCGGCGATGACGGCCCATGCCTCCTCGTTTTAACTCCGTCATGTCCGTGTTCATAAATAGTCCGCCCGAAGGCCTACGCAACCATAGCCGCGATGCTCGTGAGTTCGTCAGGTTTGAGGACGCCAGGCCACCACGATGTGGCGTGTCACCTGGAGTCGACTCCGACGTCGGATCACCAACGCCAACAGACGCATCACGATGTGCCTCGAGAACGCGCCATGATCACACCACTAATCTCAAGGAGAAGGCTGCATAAACTGGACGCTCATTGATAGATACTACTACACATGTACTAAGCGCTCACATTAACGCCTATCCAACGAATGCTTCGCCCGTGGCTCTAGGGCCATCTCAAATGCAACCCATGGCCTATGAACCCCATGAAATCCCTGTCTCGCAACAGTAGTACAAGTCTTTTAGACATAAAAAGTTCAACCCGCCCGAAACGCCGTCTAGGTGCTTTTGCGCATCATGTATCACACCCATGTCCTTCATTTTCGTCGCCATGCGCGGCTCGACGCTTTAATCATCTTACGTCCGATGCCCGAGGCCGCTGCCCGAAAAAGCCGAGTCCGCGGCGCAGCGAAGATCGACCGCGTCAGCAGCCAGCCGCCCATTCGTAAATCCCCGAGTCGCCGTTTTCGGGACATGCGGAGCTGCGTCTGCATATAAAAAAGACGGCCCCGCCTTACCACGTCTCGGCGATGTACTGGCCGGCCTCCTTCTTCAGCTCCCAGTACTTCTTGGCTTCCTCACGCTCCAGGTTGCCCTTCTGCATGGCCACGTCGACAAGCGCCTCCTCGACGCCCTCGCCCATACCCCTGGAGCTGCCGCACACGAAGACACGGCCGTCGACGGCGTTGGCAATGTACCAGACCAGGTCGGCCTGGTTGCGCACCTCCTCCTGGACGTAACGACTCTCACCACGACGGCTCTGGACGACACGCTTGACCTCGTCCTCGTGAACGCCCCACTCGCCGCTGTAGATCTCATCCACGAGTGAGTCACGAATGCCCTGAAGGACCCAGACCTTGTTCGCACAGTTGGCGGTCTTCAGACGACGCTGCACGAAGCCTCTGAAGGGGGCGATGCCGACACCGGCACCGATGAGCAGCATGGGACCATCAGACACGAACTGCTTGGCCAGGGGGTTGGCCATGAGGCCCTTGAACATGGGGATGTAAACCTCGGGCGTCTCGCCCTTGCTCTTCGCCTCCAGCCACTTGTGCGCCTGTCGCTCAAAGAAGCCGGAGCCGATACCGGTGCGCATGCCCCGACGCCAGTCGGCGTCCTCGTGGACGGTGACGGCAATCTCGATCAACCGGTGGGCCTTGCCGTCGCGCGTCTTATAGGCGTCGTGGGGGTCGTTAGAGAGCGAGTAGAAGCGGGGCATCAAAGGCTGGAGGACAGAGAGCAACAGATCCAAGGGTGGGTGGGAGCTGGGGAATGCGTTCAGGATCTGGGACAGAGAAACATGGGGACCGGTGCGGAAGTCGCAGAAGACGCCCTGGCCCTCGGCGGCGCAGAGGTAGGTGAGCAGCTTCTTCTCGTTGGTGTTCTCGGCGTACTCGGCCATGACGCGGAGCAGCTGCTTAGTCGGGGGGTAGGACTGGATGTCGGAGCACCAGGTAAGCAGGTCCCGGCGGGTGGTTACCATCTCACGGGCCTGGTCGTCACCCCAAACGGTCGGCCAGCGGCCCCGTGTTGTCTTCATGAGCACGGGCTTGTCCCGGACGAACCGGGGGACCATGAGGGCGTCGAAGACGTCATCGACGTTAGCCTTGTCGTTGGGAGCCGTAACACCGATGGCACCGCCAACTCTGAAGTCCATATCCTCCTCGCCCGGATAACTTGTGATGTCGAGATCGAAGTGGTAGGTGCGCTTCTCGGCGCCGGGCTTGGTCAGCTCGCGAGTCGAGTCGATGCGAGCAGCGTAGACGTGGTAGGGAGGGTGCGGTTGCACGTATCTGGGCGGCTCTCGGGTGGTGTCGACGCCATTGAGGGTGAAGTCCTTGAGCTTGTTCTGGACAGTGGCGAGGTCATCCTTGGGAGAGTCAACTCCTAGTGAGATGGCAGAGTCTGTCGGGGAGGGCACGTTCGCTGTTGGCCTCGGCACCGGCTCGAAGAAGACGGTCTGCTCGGGCATGTCGGCAATGTTGGTCAACGTGGTGGGAATCTCGCCAATCTTAAGAGCGAGAGACTTGTATGCGTCATTGTCCGGGAAAGGAATCTCCTCGTACTGCAGACCGTCCTTCTTCGCACCCAGCTTCATGCAACAACCGCCACCGCAACATCTTTGGATCAATTGAGCCGTGGACTCGCCAGTGATGCGCTGGATGTCTGCGGGGGATTGGGCAATCAGACGTGTAGAAGCGCGTCGCCTGCGGGGAGGCTGGATCTCTTCCTCCTGGTCCTCTGACTCTTCCGAGTAGGTAAGAGAAGGGGCGACGGAAGCGGCAGAGGGCTCCTCGGGGATGCAGCCAGAAGTTCCCATCAGGGACGAGGCCATGGCAGTGGTGGCCATTGTGCTGTGCATCGCGTGCGCGTGTGGTGGGTTGTGGTTGTGGTTGTGGTTGTCTAAGTGGCGGGTGTGATGATGAGGTACGCGATTGTGGTGGGTGGCAGGGGTGTTGGAGATTTTCGCGTGGAGGATGGCGTAAAGTGGTCGTGAGTGGTGGTAGGATCGAGGGGCGGATAGTCAGTAGTTATTGAGCATGCTGAGGCGGACAGGCGTAAGTGTGTAGGTGTGTGTTGACGTTTTCGTTATGTACGGCTGAAACCAGTGAGGAATTCTTGATCAGATTATTTTGATCAGATAAGCGGCAGTGCGTGGTTATATCAGCGGAGTGATGTGGGAAGAAGGAGAAAGTGTAATCGGGGGGAAGGAAAGGAAATAGGTAACGGAGGTGAGGTAGACTAGATGTAAGGTAAGGTTTTCCCTGACGTGGAGGCCGATGAGGTAAAAATGGACGAAGACGGGGCCAGACAAAGCCAGGCCTGGAAAAGAAAGGTCGTTGAGTTTGTCGATCTCGAGCCGAGGACTTGCTTGCTGTACTTCGTGCGAACACACCAGCACCAGCACCGTACCGTGCCAATATTTTTTTCGAATATTTGTCTCTGCCGGGCGACGGACGTGGACGTAATTTTGGAGGGGAATTGAGGAAAAATGACAATCCAAAGTGGCCGTTTCCTTTGGGGCGACCAGGGGGCCCTGGAATGCCCCAGTTTGGCCTAGCCGCCACCGGTCTGGACGAGTGGGTACCGTGACCCTTGGCCGACCGCAGCCGGACAGTGCCCAAGAATTCTTTTGGTACTGCCCTCGAAAATGGTCCCGTCATTCATGCTCAGGCTCGCCAAGTCGGCCTTGGCCCCCATCTACGAAAATACACCAACGACACGGCTTCGGTATTCGTACTGTATTTTAATAATGGGAGGTAATAGTACGGATGATGACCAAGGGATTTCGCCCATGATGACTCTGTATTACGGCAGCCAAAAAGGCTGAGCCGAAATGATAACATGCGAAAAGCCCACCGCATTCCAGCGTATCGCTATCGCATTCGCAGCGCCGTCAGCATTTGTCTGTGCTGCGTCACAGTTATCAATCGCATCTGGAGGCAACCTAAGGCATGTCAATTGTCCAAGCACAGGCAGGAAGAGGAAGAGGAAGGCATGAGGCATGAAGCATGAGGTCTTCCTTCCGATGTCGCTTGCTAATTGCTGGCTGCATTCAAGTTGGGCAGTCACGCTCGTGCTCGGTCTCGTTCCTGCCAGTAAAGCACCCGTGGACCTGCTTTCCATCTTAACCCAACTGCCATACCAAAGTATCAGCTGTCAAACCTTCACTGGTTGGGTAAGGCACCTAAGGTAAGGTAGGAAGGACTGGCTCCTATCTTTTCTCCTTCCACATTCCGATCCGCTCCTTCCACCCCACCAAGACCGCCCTTTCCCCAATTGAGGTCAACTTACCCGCGCCTCGTTGCCCCCTTTCCCGGCTGTTCTTGCCCGATTTCTTCCACAGTACGAAGGACTCGGTTTGCTCCTTCTCCCCCATTCTTGCCTCAATTTATCAACCGAGGTGTTCTGATCCGACCCGGCAGCCGGGAGAATAAGGTCAGGTCAGCTTAAGGACGGTTCGCTTACTCACTGCGTAGTAGTACACACCCACAATTGTTGGGCTTTCCAGGCTCTGCTGCACAACGGTGGACTCGTCCCGCACCGCTGGAAAATGTGACGACTGGCATCGCGTCAAATCCCCAAATCGTCCAGTCCATCGGCGCCAACAAGACTCTGGACTGTGGGGTTTTGCCATCACCAGATGCACTAAACAGATCACCACCCTTCTACTTCACTCCTCCGGCTTCGCTGACCATTCCGGCGTCGTTCATTTCACCATTTCCCCTCTCAATCACGCCCTCCTTCATCGTCTCCGCGATGCCCTAACCTCTGCCGTGCCGTCGTGCAGCCGTCAACGCACGATGAGGTGGCCGCATCCTCCACTACACCACCACAATCGCTATCGGAGATGCCATCTCCAAACCTGATGCACCACTTGCAAATTCAGCTCCACTTCAAGGAAAACGAACCTCAGAGGAGCTCCATGCCCTTCGCTTCTTCGCCATTACCGATGCCGTATTATCTACGGATACGTTACGGCGTATCGCAACGTCGCAAGCATATCGCCAGGCCCTACGTACCACACCACGCACTCTCAATATACACCGTACAGTGTCACCCAACACGTTGGATCAGCCACTCCGAAGTCGTGTCCCTTCGGTTCCAGACGGTAGGGTTCGTCCCGGCCAAAGCGACACCCCAGACGGGACCTCAGGACCTCTTGCTTGAACTCAGCCCCCGGCGCCGACGAAGCCACGGCTAATGAAGCAATCTCTCCGCGCACCACGCTCGTTCGATGACAAGGCAAAACCAAAAATATCGTGTCGCAATATCCTACCTCTTTCACCGCTCACCGAACATGTGCGCTGAAACTCAGTCAGCGCCCGGGAAAACTCTTCCTGAGTCAGACCACCTACCGACCCATCAGCCGTTGAATCGCCACTTGTTTCCGCCGCCTTCCACTCCCCATCAAAAGGGTCTTGCTAGGCTAGGTACTGTCTCGCACACTGTCTTCCGATGCCCGTCGCCTGGTGGATCTCCGTTTGTTGCGTTCCGATTGTTGCGCGTCAACCGTCATTCAAATGCCCAGCCCAGTGCCGAAGACGGCAGCACTGCGCATGGCTGACGAAAGAGCCCTCGGAATGCGACACTGCGCACCCGCGGAAGCATTGGGCAAAATTCGCCGGCTCCTGCTGCATGGTACGGCAGCCCTGCCGTTGCCGAACCGAGCAATTCCGTCCTGGCCCTCCACGTGCCCCCTCCAATTCACCACCGCTCCGCAGTCCGCTCAACAAGCCGTATCTCGAAAGTGGACTGGAACGGCAGCTGCCACTTCTGCAGCTTCGGCTCCGTCGGTCTCTTCCGCCGTCTGTTGACGTGTAGAGCCGTCCTCATGTCACGTCCTCACGTCACGCTTCTCTCACACCACGGTTTCGGACTCCCATTGGAAAAGCGAACTGTCCGTACCAAGCCGAGGAGCACCGAGCCGGGGAAGGCAAACCTTCATGATGCCCAATCGAACAACGGAATGCTAACTCTACCGTCCGATCCCTGCCCGTGGCATTCGTCCAATCATTCCTGGTCTGGTCAGTGGTTTGACTTTTGTTCCGTCTTTGTCCAAATGCGAAGCGTTAATCTTATCGTCCTGTTATCAATCTCATCAAATCAATCGCATCTAATCTGGTCAATCTCCGAGACCGGCTTCGCTGTCAATTCATCAAAGCTGCGCCAATCCTCTCAACGCAAACGCCAAACCTGAGATTCTGGGGCTGCTGCAGTCGAGGCCCGCTTGTGTCTCCCTGCGCTCAGTCATTGTCGCATCCTCATTTCGACGCGTTTGGCCTTGTTGGCCAGCCTCCTTCAGCTAGCCGCTCCACTAGACATTTACTACCACGACCCACGGCCCAGAGACATGGCATGGGTTCGATCTGATAACTTTATTCGCTTGTCACTCATCAGAGAGGACTGCCTGATCAACGCCTAGTGTGTCTTCGGCCGTTCACCACCCCTACCGCTCACCTGATCGGTAGCCGAAATTCCCACCGCAGCCACGTCCAACCACATCGCACCGGCTTGCGAGCCAGCTTCCGCGGTGCCGCAACAGGTTTGGTACCGGGCATCCAGACTCGAATCCTGTTCTCAGCGGCTGTCATGGCAGCTGCGTATTTTGCCAACAGGTGCTACAAACACTGACGACACACCGGATTCCTTCGAATGCAACCCAGGCGACCACTGCGGCGTTCCTGCTCTTTCCGGGCGTTCAAAAAGCAACTCCCAGGTGACCATCTCGCGAATTTCGTTTCAGAGGCTCAACAGTCCCAACAATCAGATCCATGGCTCAAATTCATATCCTTCCAGCCTCCCTGTCCGCCCCAGCATTCTCGTGTTCGCACGTGAAGCATCCCTTCAGGTAACCCACTGGATGGCTCGTCGATCTTCCACAGTGTAAACTTCAACCACTTGGCTCTCCACACCGAGAGGTACGTCGCGTGGGAACAGTTCCTGCGTCCCCGGGGATCTTGTCCTAGCTGCCGGTACGAAAACCCTCTAGCTCGAACTAGGCCTGGCTTTATTACGACCGCTCTCCGGTCATTTCGCTCCCTCCCGGAAACCGTCAGTCCGGGCTGGTCCGATGCCAGCCTTTTGCCAGTACCAACCACTCGGTTGAAACAGGTTTTCGTCAAGGCCCCTGGCTTGTAATCATTTCGACACATTCTGAGAGCTTCTGGAAGCCGAGGAAGCGAGATGACGACCAAATGGTCGATGTGGCCATCGGGCATCCGCGGGTCTTCATCCTCCATCGTCCATCGACCGATCAAAGTCGGACCGAGCAGCTCGGCACTCGCACGAAACCTCAGGGGGCTCGGTCTAGCTCGGTGGCATAACTTGTCTTGGCTGTGCGTGTTCTGGTTTCCGGGGACAGAATAGGGGTAGTGGCATGCCGGTGTTTGCTCTACATGCCGTCCTGAAAACCTGCAGTACGCAAGCTACAACGGATTGGTGTTGCTGGCCTCAATCGCTGCACACATCAATGCGACAGCAATGGGGGAGAAAGTGCCTCCTTCTTGCACGGCTAAAGTGGATGATTTGGCGCCAACGACCCCTGATTTAACAGCAAAACAACCGTCTTTACCCGTCGGTGGTGTCAAGGATACAGCAAACCGCATCGCATCGAGGTCGTCTCACCTACATGATGAGACTGAATGAATCGGGGACCTAACTAAGATCAGCGATTTTGAGACCAGACTTGAAAGGAGCCTAGACAAGCATCGACCGCGTTGAAAAAGGCCAGGAGGTGACGACAAACAGATACCTGGTCAGACTTTTAGCCACAAGTCGCAAGCTCGTTAGGCCCTTCGTTTTCGATCTTCCTCGAAGCCCCTGCTGAAGCTCGGTTCCGAAGAAGAG